GCCTGGCCATCCTGCAAGAGAATAAAAGATATACTACGTAGAGCCATTGTACTAACTATATACACCATAAAGTCTGAAGCTAGGTCAATATTGCTGTATGAACCTGTGTAGCAGAGGTGGCAGTCTGCAGCAGCCTCTGTTCTTCCCACAAACAGCGGGCAACAATGCGAGCAATATCCATCGGTTTCTCCAAGTACTTGCTCTGCAGATGCTGTTTAATCCTGCGGAGGTTATGCTGGTAGAGCACGTTGTTCTCCTGCAGGAAACGGCTGTACTGCTGATCTATTTCTCCCAAGAGGTTGTGGAACACCAGTGTAGCATGTGACTCCTTATTGGCAGCGTAAGCCCTTGTAAACGACAGGTAAAGTGATCAGTATGTGCTCATTTCTAATTTTTCCTCATACATTAAGGTCAAACTCATCCCCATTTGCCACAAGAATGAGTACTCGGGTTAACACGCATACTGACACATTATATCAGAGTGCCCCGATTCCTGTGGTGGTGTTATAAGGAAAGAAGAGGGTGATAATGAATAAATAAAAACATTTTTAAAGCCAAAAAACATTTTGGAAATCATAATGAGTGGCCATCTCCCAATCCAAAGGGAGAGAAAATTACATGAATTAAAATGTAATTTCACAACAGAGCCTAGAAATGTAATTTTTATTTATTTATTAACCTTTATTTAACCAGGAAGATCCCATTGAGATTAAAAACCTCTTTTTCAAGGGAGACCTGGCCAAGATAGGCAGCAGCAGATGTCTCACAGTTACAGAAATTACTCAAAACACAGGCAGCAACAACACACATGCAACAATAAGTGAAAGAATACAATTATTTCTTACCAGTCCTGACTCTCAATCCAAGGCGCAAGAAACTGTCGTAACTCCATGGGGAAGCTGTCACTGTACAAGTGGTAGAGTTGCTCCAGGTACCTGGTCTCCAGCTGCTGTAACTGGTTCCACTGGGCCATCTTGACACTCACCTCCTTTGGCCTACATAAAAAATATGAGTGAGACAACATAAATTCTCCAAAAATTCTATGAAAATACAAACTGATAATACATACTGCCACAGTTCCTGATAGAATCAGGAAAAATTAACTGTAGGGAAATAGCTAAATATCAAGTTTTCTCTGAAAACGATGTCAGGCCCATACAAGCTTCCTATTCAGTACAGTCACTTCCTGTTCACCGAAACACTACGCCTCCACCAAGAAATTTAGGCCAACATGAACAGCTGTCAACTCCCCGAGCAGACAGGAGTTAATGATCTTTGGTGGTAATTTTGCCTCGAAGGTATGTCACTGCGCTTTCTGTACTTTGCAATTTGAGTAATAGTGTTTCATTTATTTTCAATGACCTGATATCAGATAACTCTTATCTAGGTTATATAACTATAACTTTTCCATCAGATCCACTTGAGCGGTTCTCCTAGCCTTCTCACATTTTCAGCTAAAGGTTACACCATTCCCTGAAGAATTTTCTACTGTACACTAACAATAACCAGACATTCAATAAATCAAAAAGGAAGCCATTTCCTTTGTTTAATCCTTACATAACATGTTGGATAGTGTTGCAGTAACATCATTCCACTGAATGTGTGTACCGTGTTCTCTAATACACCTAAAGTTCGACTTTAAATATAGGCAGAGACGTTTAACAAAGCTTTCATGCTTGGTAGCTGCTGACACAGAAATGTACTTGACAAAAAAACAAAACTTCACTTTCTGTTTCCAAATGTAAAGATTTTCTCCTGCTGACAAAGCATAGCACCGAAATAATGCTGTTCATGTCTGAACAGGTTAAAACACAGACCTGAATTTCCATCTGTCAAGGTATTAGCATTATTCAAATCAACACTACATAGGTTCCATATTCATACACATGGAGGTGAGTGCCTTCTCAAAAGCGTCATTTTAAAACACCAACAGAAAGTGGATTTCCCAACATTCACTGAAATTAGTGTTCAAGGAAAGCCACTAGTTTCGGTAAAACCCCCCAAAAAACAAAATCACTAATATGCTCACTAACGCTCACTAATATTGTGTTGCTATTTTAAGCAGTGAAGGCACATAATTAACTGTCCCACAAATGTTGCATTTTTCATATGACCAATGTTCCTCTTCCCACATCATATGAAAAAGATGCATTCATGCATGGTGTAGATTTCTGGGCATGTAAAAACCCTGAGAGGATCAAACCAAAGAATAGGCAAGTCTTTATCAGTTCAATAAACAACAACAACAACAACAACAACAACAATAAAACAGTATTTCAAGTTAACCATGACCCTTAGGCACAGTTGTAAGTTTATTGTGTAACCTACTTATCCTGTTTCTCCTGAAATGGCTGGACTATTTTGACATTTACTAAGCCCTTCTGTGAGATCTCTGCAGAATTATACGTGTGCAGTTACAGAAATAGTTGTGTTTTATTTTTAATCAAGAGTAACTTTAGACAAGCAGCTTGTTTATGTCAGATGAAAGGAATCCATGAAGTCTAAACAACTCATCTGTTGGTTGCATAACTTAGACATTTTGCTTAGGTCTCACACATTTTGTGTTCCTTTTCTTTTCACACCTCTATCAATGTCTGAGCTTTAAAACTTAATCTAAAGCTCTCAAATTAAAATCCACAACTCAGAATTAGTTATCATAAATAAACCTGTCTACCCAGCTTGTCCACTGCCCTATGCTCGGAAGTAAGTGGCACAAACAGTGCCAAGCAAAGTGCCATTCATTAAAACTCATACCTATGATATTCCAGGAAGCACTTCCTTGAGACAACAACGAGAAACAGTAAGCATGTCAACCTTCACTGGCAGTGGATGAAAACAATAGTACAACTACATGTGTTATTAGGCAAAAATAAATAAATAAAATACTGATTGATTATGATGTGCGTCCATATTCAAAACTCGTCAAAAGTTAATAATCTGCTAACTCACTGTCCCCAATTAAAGCCTAATTTATTGAATGCAAGCCTTGAATCATAAGGCTAGGTAGTGGGTGTGCTGTCCAACTGATGGCATGGTGATGGGCGTGACAGCTTAAAGAAAACAGAAAGAACTGAACTGAATTTTCCTCGGTCCAAAGGGGCATCCCGTTAAAGCCCACCTTCCCTTTTTAAAGCATATCAGATGTACTCCCATTATTAAACGAGGCGTTAGAGAGTAGACGAGAAAAACAGAGCACACAAACACAAAAACTGTTAAATATTACGTCTGTAATATACATTTTACAAGAAACGAGCAGAACTGTAACACACTTAAAAACGTTATTACCACTTTAATAAATTATGTATTACTGTGAGCAGAGGGGGTTTCTCCAACGTGAATAACTAAGAACCTATAAAGTACTGCAAGTCTACCCCAGCAGCGTTATCGATATTAGAAGTAGACGTGCATTAACATTACGTTAAAAATATAAAATTTACACCAAAAGCAGAAGTCGATTTATATTTGCTTACCTGGCTCGATGCCACTTATTTAGAAAGTTTCTCCGCCAAAACAGTAACCCTTCTCATAAAACACACTGACGATAACGGTCAGTGGCAACTTTCGTAAAGATTTTACCCACAAAAACGAGGGAAAGAGCTCGAAAAAACCCCCGTAAGTCTTTATATTCTCTTCCCAACACGAGAAACGCTTCTTCGTCGCGAGTACGGATCTTTCAGTCAACCCATCCCCTACATTGCAGACTTTCCAGCCAGCCAAACTCCTTAAACTATTTTACTGACATTTCCAGCCGCCAATAGTGGTCTTCAACTCTGCTGTCACCAATCACAATGCAGCTTATAAGCAAAGGAGGCGGGACACTAGCTTGAGGTTGGTTGAGGAGGTCCGCTGTATCGCTGTCGCAACTGAGCTGTTCTTCTGTGAACACCCTCCCCCGGGTAAGCCATAGAGTAGACGTTTACGCTGGGTAGCACCGGAGGGAGCACAAACATTTTCACGGAACAGCCAGCCTAGAAGTCATCTGAATTACCGGCAGTGCCGACGTCATCGAGAGTTTAATAACACTAGAGCGCTTCATTATTTACCTTTAGTTATAACTCAACCCTCTGGTCACGTTAGGTGAAGGAACACAAATAAACTTATAAACTGACAAACAAGACAACATTATCAGCCAGGTTCGTAAGAATGATGCCAGGCACTAAATATTATTTAGTAAGGCGTTTATTTGTATTGAATTTGTTAGGCATAAAAAGCCTTAAACACAACATAATCAGTCAAGCGTCATTATTTGAATATAAATCAGTAACACCAAGCGTACTATTATGTCACATAAGGTTGCAGCAACGTTGAAGCTCATTTTCTGAATAACCAGCAGCTTAAAACAAGACAAAATAAACAGGGTGACAAAAACACACATTTCTTCTAAAGGAACCAGCGAGTATTATGGATAAAGTACAGGTTGTCTTTGCCAATAAAATAAAATAAAATAAAATACAAAAAAAATAAAAAGTAAAATAAACAAAAGGCTAATGCTATGAAAATATTATTGCCCATGTGAATTCACAGGCCAACGGCTGATTTCTTTATTGTTTTTTGTGATTTCAGCTTCATGCTTGAGTACGTGACATGCACATACGTGTCACCATTTAGTAGTCTCTCCCTTCCTTACATAGACCCCCCCCCCCCCCCCCCCCCCCCTTGTCTTTCCCAATGTTCTCTGGTTTGTGCAGTGCTCTGACCAAGCACTCTCCTTAATTGTATTTCCCCGCCCATTGATTACTTTAATGGTGGTCGATGCTACACAGTAGGCCTCTGCGTGTGTGTCTGCACCACATCAAGGTCATTCAAGTCTCCAGGGAGGCAAAATGGAAGACATACATTCACCTTGTTGTTGTCTGGAGTGCGATATGCTCGGCCTTACAAAATCAGAAGACTGACTGTGCATTGCCATACCAGTTTACATTCATTACTGCTTGGTTGTTTTCTCCATCTTATGCCAACCAAATTGTATAATTTACGACCAGATTTTCGTAGTTTTTTGCTTTGGATGTTCCTGTAATAGTTCAGCTTCTCCATATTACATACAGCGGTCATTAAACTGTCATGTCGCGTCTCTTTAGACCATCTTTTTTTCTGTCTGTAATTACTTTGAGAAATTTTAATAGTGTGATGAGCACTGTGATGAGCTGTGACCATGGTGATACAGTCTTTTTCATCTCCCCTTTGCGCAGCAGTGCAATATGTGCAGCTTAGTGAGAACGTGTTCAGATACACCAAACGCCGTATCCTCATTAAACACTGTTTTTACTATTGCAAAAGTGACATTCCGAATCTTTTTAATATTTTCATTCAGTTATTCATTTTTCAATATGAATAACCCCACATATACAACAGTATATTTTGCTTTTTAGTGTGGTGTTATGCATTTAAACATTGTAATAGTTGAATTTGTCACAGGTTCATGGTTCCTAGTATATATTAATAGAAACTGCACATCTATTTCCAGCCATTCACACTTAAGTGCTTAACAATGAGAAACACTGTATTGTAACATTTGGGAAAATGTTTGTAATCTTACGAAATATGGAGTACAGTTTAGTTAAACGCCTTAGTTTAAGTCCAGTGCAACAGATCTTTTCTTCACCTGTTAATTCTTCTGTAGAAGAATCCGTCTACAACTTTTACATTTATTTTTCTTTACACATTCACATCACTTCACCCGTCCATTACAACACAAACATTGCCAAGAACTTCATTTTTCCATATTTGTTAAGGCAAATGCCACACTAAATATTGTCTCTTAATCACAACAATTTTTTTGTTTTTCTTTTAGCCACACAACTAATCAAACCAACAACAAACAACAAATACTCTAATTTCTAAGTGTAGCATATCCAGTCAGCCTGTAACATAACTCCTGTTTTTGTCTTTCTTTCTATTATTTGAGTGCTAAATATGAACAAATATGAAAGTTATCCCTGTTGGGAACAATACAAAGAGAACAGAAAACAAATAAGATGTCATAGATTGTAATCATCTATAAAGTCCCTACTGTGTCTTTGTGATTATATTCATTTATCAGTATTCTGTTTCCTTCTTCATCTTAATATAATTTCTTTCACAGCCCCGTGGAGCTACGAGACTCTATTCACTTTGGGCTTTCTTTAGGTGGTCTGTATCCACCCTGACCAGGTCAGAGTCTTCAGTCACCTCCAACAGAGTATCTATTTCGGGGCTGTCTACACTGACAAGCTCCCCTTCCTCCACCTCCACGTGCACACCCATCCCGTTCTCCTCTCCCCCTGGCTGAACCTCGGCCTCGCTCACTTCTACCATCTCCGTGTTCTGCACCACCTCCTCCTCCCCTTCCCGGATCTTCTTAACATGGAAGGTAAAAGGGGGAACGCGGTACACGGAGGTCTTGGAACGAGCATACATCTTGTGGTCAGGGGTGAGTGACTTCTTCATCTTCTCTTTGGAACTCTTTATCTTTGCCCTGCGCTCCTGGTTGGGAGTCATGCGGGTCCCGAGCTTGCCCATCTTCTTCTCAAGACTGTGCTTGGTTTTCTCCAGGTTGTCACGGGTTCTCTGTCTTGTCTTCTCCAAGTTTTCACGGGTTCTCTGCTTGGTCTTCTCCAAGTTTTCCTTGGTTTTTAGTTTGGTCTTCTCAATTTTCTCTTTGGAGAAGGCTTTCTTTATGTTATCGACTTGCTCTTTTGTGGTGCGTTGGAGGCGCTTTGTACGAGTCTCTATGAGCTCCTCTTCAATCACCACCTCTTCATCTGAATTAAGATTGTCTGGGAGTCCCTCCTGTCCCTCTTCAGGGATTTGCTCAAGGCCCTCCGCTGTTTTACTTTCTACCGCCTCTGCTGTCTTGGATTTGGATGCCTTTGGTGGCTTCACTTGGTCCTAAGGGACAAAATAGAAAAGAAAGAAAGAGGGAAGAGCATTAAGCTACTGTAGCAGAGTGAGCGAGACTGAGTTAAACACGCTTTACAACAATTTTTACAAACATTTCAATGGACATGATGTTTCATTAATTGTATTATATGAATAATGTAAAAATAGCATATGTTTCAATATGTTTTCAAATGTACCACCTATACAAAATTAAGATAATGGGCAACGGAATTGCAAATATCACCCTGAAACTCTGCAGAGTCATGCCTCATCAAGTAGTCAGTGTAAACATGTCACTGTGTGCAGCTGGTGCGGAGTGCCATCTAGTGGTGTCACTTATATGCTGAAAATTGTGCAAACAAAATGGTTTTAAATTTTTAGTTATGAAAGATAAAAGAATGTAGCCTGGCATATTTATAGGTATTATATGGCATGTCTTTAAAACACTAGTAAAACCTGAAAGGAATCCTATATTATCTGCAACTTTAGTCATAATGAAACTGAAGCTCACAATTTGTTCATCTAACCACAGGTTTATTTCCTGCCACTTACATATCATTTCTGTATAAAAGTCTGAAGACCTAATCTTCAGTTAAATCTCTCAGTAGACAATTTCAGCTTGTGTTTGGTCGGCAAAAGTGTTGATTATAAAATGCAGAATAAAGACTGGTGGTTAAATTTCACTGGAAATACTTAGTGGTTAGAATAGTTTCGGTTTAGCACATAATGCAAAGTGCAGCAGTTTCAGAGATGACCAGAAATTGCTGCATACATAAGCCCAGAAGCAGGACCATAGTATTTGTTCTATGCAAAGCTACACGGGAAGGTATCACCCTGTCAAACCACTTGGATGTGCATCTATTTGAATACCCCCCTACAAGTTACAATAAAACAAAAACAAAACCTTAAATCAAAGCACTTAAATTTTTTATTTTACATCTGTCAACAAAGTAGACCACATTTCCATGTTGTTTGGCAGGACAGTGTCATTCCAGATATCCACAAAGGGAGGAGCAGTACTATGATAGAAATGTGATTCCCCCCAACTGTCAGTTACTGATAGAGGGATCAGTCGACCCACCCTGCTGAACCACACCTCAGTGCACCATCACTATAGTCACTGACTTTGTAGATACACATGAAAAAAAATCAGTAATTCATGAGACCAACCTAGATATTTAGGAATATTTAGGATGTTCACACTCTGACATCTAGGTTCAAATACCAATGAGTGTTTACATCTGAAGTTAATTTAAGAGGCATAAAAGGCCTCATATCTATTTTGTCTAATATCAGTCCGCTAAATAGCCACAATCAGACAAATAATTATCCTGCAGAACACGGACTCAGATGAAACAGACACAGCGCTGCTCGCATGTAGCAAAGGTTTGTTTATCATCTCCACTATGAGGGACGACACATCTTTATTTGAAAATTGTAAAAAGAAACATTTCAATAAGGTGGGAATAATTTGTCAGCCACTGTTATTATAAGCTGCTATAATTACAATGCATACACCTAAATGCGAATACTGCCTAGGCAGTAGTCACCCTTTCACACTTTAAATGACAATTTAGGTAACTTGATGGTGGAGTAAATGGCATTTCAGTCATTTCACAGCAAGAATACTCATTGTTCTTTCTTGCTTTTTGCATGTTCTCCCTGTACCTGTGTGGGTTTCCT